ACTTTCAAAACAAGCTTTGTCCGAGTTCTTGTTAGTGGGGCCAAAGGCATCCAAAAATAAATAGTTCCGGTATCCTCGGTCGGGCCCACCATCAAAACCCGTCAGTTAAACTGTTTCAGTTGCGCGTTTGCTCCACACGACATGACTGTGGCATGTGAGTTCAGCATGTTTTGGGGACAGTCTGTTCAACTTAAGTACATGCACACTGGTTGAAGAGTCTTTCGAGACCTATTTGGAGGGTGTGTGTGTTAGACAGATGTGCTTGATGTGATACTTCCGGATTTTAAAAGAATATGAATAAGCACACACACACACACACACAGAGAAGAGAGGGCATATTATACAGGTATATACATGGGTGTATTTATGGACTCTTCGCGAAAATTTTAAAGTCAGCTTGGCAGTCACCTTGGTGATTTGTGGGTGATTTTTTTCCCCTGAGATCCTGATTTTTAGATGTCATATCCTGCTATCAGAATCTTTGATACAGATGGCAATAAGTCTGTCTTGGGGTTGGGGGGAAATCTGCACCTGTTTGTTCTTTCACATGCAACTGTCAAATCCACAGCCTGATTGTATGAGAGTAAAACTGTAGCCCACATGTTTTTTGGTAGTTTTTTTTCTTTGTCTCGTGAATAGTGTTGGTCTATAGTTTATGTAAATTTTTCTATGGATCTTTGTCTGTGTTGTTGGTGTTAAGATATTTGTAAGTGTTTTTATTACTCTATGAGAAATGTGGGTGGAAAGTGATAAAGGACTACCAAGAGTTGTTTTTTTTTGTGTCCACCAAACACGATAAAAGCTGTAGGCCCTTTTGGACAAACTGCAACATATTTCTGGGTACCAACAATGTTCTTTCCTGAGTAATGCAATTTCACTTGTGGTTGACGAGATTTCATCATACAACAAATATCAGTTGAGCCTTGCATCGTTTTCTCTAGAAACAAAGGCACTCAAGATTATTCTGTTAATGGTTGTAGAACAGAAATCTTCGTTTTTCTCAAAACTGGAAGGAAAAAAAATGAATATGTCATGAAACTATTTGTATACAAACTATACCACTTGTTAAACTGTTTTTGCGATCTTGTTTATATTTTGTTTATTTGTGTAGATGGAGCAAGTACTGAGAGTTGAGAGAATGCGACAGGCCATCCTGGAGAATCTACGCGTGGACTTTGCCAAACCTCTTCTGCCTGGATTCTACTACCCCTATCCCAACATGCCATACCCAGGTGCTCCCTTGCCTTATGCCCCTGCTGGGGCTTCCAGAGGCAGAGGAGGACCGCCGGGGCGCCAGATGGGCAGGGGTAGAGGGATTCTAGGTAATTATGGTAATAACACACATTTCTACTCTTTCTCAATGTTGTGCTTGCAGCTTCAGATGTTGTACTGGTCGATTCCTACGTGGTATGTTGTAAAACGCACTGACAGCATTCAGGCGTAGCTTGTGCCCATAGAAATAAATCGACAGCGTTTTTCAGTGCTTCCAATCTTCCGTATTTTGACGGAAAAGCATACTTTTTGACAGTTTTGTACTTGCTCCTCCATCAATATCAAATCCATCCGTAAAAAAGTATTGGCATAGGGCTAACGAGGTTCTGTAGCAAAGGATCCGTTCTTGCTGTCATGTCGTCTTGTATAATTTCTGGATATTTATGAATTCTCATGGCAATAAGTGTTACTTACAAAAAACTGCCAGATTGTGCATTTCCTGCAATCGACCATTATCCCGCTATGATTCTGAAAAGATATTACGGAAAACGGAGAAAAACAACCGGATGTGCGCGTCCACCCACGCCCTATTTCAAGTGACTAATGGACGAGCTCAGAATTATCATGCGGGTATTTGTAGGTTATATACATTTGTCGAGGGAGTGCCAGGGAAATGGCTTTGTGTCAGTATGCTTATATATGATTAAAATTGAAACTGGTAAGATATAATTGGGTTTGATATGATGAAAATGTGATCCGGACCTCTGAACACCTTTGTGATGAGATCCACTTGAGTCCTGCTGATCAACCTTTGTTTTCTTCTCACCATGTGCTCAAAACTTCATCTGGATGTTATTGTCCCTTTGTGAGGAGATAATGGGTGGGAGTTCCTCCATCTTCCTTTCTTATTTCCTAGCTCTAAGTTCTTGCATTTAGGGTTCTTCTCAATGATTTTTTTTACATCATAATTTCACTGGGAAGGAGGAAGAATAGGAGAAATAGGTTTCCTTTCTCATAATTCTTGCATTTAGGTGCCTTGTCTTCCCTTCCACATCTCAATGATTTTTCTTACATCATAATTTCACCAGGAGGGAGGGAGGAAGGAAACAGGAGAAATGGAATCTATCTCATGTGGGATTAAAGTTATTTAAAGTGAAAAGTGTGTGCTCAGATAAAGTGGAATGAGGGAATGAGTTTTGTCACCTTTGTGGATTTTTTTATTTTTTGAGTCTCTTACCCTCAGCCATTTTAAAAATGGAAAATTCAGTTGCAAGTGTTAATGTGAATGCACCTATTCTGGACTAAAGCAGCCAACCCATGAGATTGTGGTAAAGTTGACATGATGAAAATGTGATCCGGACCTCTGAACATTATTGTGACGAGATACATCTTGAGTCTTACTGATCAATCTTTGCCAGTTTCATCATTTCCAAATCCAAATATTAAATTTTTATAATTCTGTCAGTTGGTTTTGTGATGAGATCCTTTTTGAGTCCTTATTGGTCAACTTTTCAGTTTCTGCCAACTGTCTTGTTGTCTTTGTCAGGTTTTTTTTATTTTTATTGGTAAACATCTATTATTTTGTGTCTTTTTACTTCATTGGGCCTTTTGGGTGAAAGCACTGTAGGTTCTCCCCGCCCCCTCTTTTCTGTTAAGTGTTGATATAATAATATCAGGTTTGATGGTGATGGGAGTGGGCACATTGGGCCTACAGTTTTTGCATTTGCTGTGTTGACAGGATGTCAGAGAAACTTGCAATGATGTAACATTTCTATGTTGTTTCTGATGTCATTCATCATGTTTTTGTGAGTGTGGTAATAAGTTGAAGCAAAGTATTGGCGAGATTGAAATGGGTTTGATATGATGAAAATGTGATCCGGACCTCTGAACACCTTTGTGATGAGATCCACTTGAGCCCTGCTGATCAACCTTTGTTTTTTTCTCGCCATATGCTCAAAGCTTTGTCACTGGCCTCTGTGGTGTAGCGGTTAGGGCCGCCGCTGTTGCATTCAGGAGACCAGAGTTTGATTTCTGAGCGGGGAGAAATTTGTATTGAGTATACCCGTCTTTCAGCTGGGATGTTGTATTCTTCCCAGTCCGGGCTGGCCCTGACAGGCATGATTGAAGCATCCCTCGTAAATCATCAAAATTTTGATTATGGGGCGTAAAAACACCTGCCGTATTAAAAAAGCTTCATCTGTGTATTATTGTCCCTTCGTGATTAGTGGCAAATCCTTGGGTGGGTTTTCTCCATCTACCATTTTTATATCCCAGCATCAGGTTCTTGCATGTCTGCTGTCTTCTTTTTCATATTTCATTGATTTTTTTTACATCAGTTTCACTGGGAGGGAGGGAGGAAGAGGAGGAATCAAATAAGGGATTGAAGTTGTTTAAAAGTGAAGATTGTGTGCTCAGGTAACATGAAATAAGTACGATTTTGATTAATTTTGTGGAATGCTGCTTTTTAAATTCCCTTCTTCCCCTTTTTTCGTTTTATTGTGAAATTTTTCATTTTTATAATGAGGCATGTGTTAGCATCACCTCTGAACTAAGACATGCACTGGGTGAGATTGTGGTAAAGTTGATATAATGAAAATGTGATTCGGACCTCTGAACACCACTGATGAGATCAACTTTTGAGTCCTACTGATCAACTTTGTAATAATCAACTTACCTTACTTTTTAATAGTCTTTTTTCCCCCTCTCTCTATTCTGTCTTCATTGACTTTGATACCTCAATTTTCATGGGGTTTTAATGAGATGTGCTCTGTGATACGAAAAGGTCATGTTTCCATTTGGTCATGCTTTATTGATCTCTTATCTTCTTTTCTTTTTTTTTTTTGTTTTTGTTTAAATTTTGGACAAGTGTATCAATGATGCTTTTTTCAGGACAAGTCCTTCAAGTGATTATTGGGTATTGCTATGCCCTGCTTTCTTTTTGCCCCTCTGTTGCATCTGTTCCGTTGCCAGCCCTTTCCCCCTCAATGCTACTCCTAAAAACTGTTCCTTTGTCAACATGCGGTAACTCATAAAATACTTTTCAAAGTTCTTTTGCATCAATTTATGGAAGAGTACAGGACCATTTGTTCATTCAAGTATGCTATTCTTTTATATTGTTCTTTGACACAATTTTGTTTCATGTACAGAAGGCACAGATTTTCTACACCACCACAATAGAAACTTTGATAAATTTTGGAATCACTTGCTATGGTAGCAATCTGGGAAGGCAGCACATTATAAAACTAAATAAGTTGATAAAAAAGGCATCAAGAACAATTGGTAGAGACCTTAGTAACTTTGAATATTTGCACAAGACAAACGTTTTAAAAAAGGCGGAAATAATGCTAAGTGACCATAGCCACCCACTGACATCGGAATTTCAACTATCGACCCACAGTAAACGATACATTTCCAAAAAAGCAAGAACAGGCAGATATAGAAATTCATTCGTATCAACTGCAGTGAGGTTACTGAACACAGTGCTACAAATGAAACAGGGAGAAAGAGAGACAGAATGAATGTTTTACGGAGCGGGTTGTCCCAGCCCGTGAGACATGTATTTACTTGGCCTAATGTCCTGTCTTGTTGTGCGTTTGCGTGAGTGCACCTTTAAGTCTTAACTTTTGTAACGTCTACTGCCATTGTTAACGACCAAGACAAATTTCTCTATGCGAGATGAATAAAGATTGTCATTGTCATTGTCACAAAGAAACAAAGGCCATGGCTATTATGCATGTGTAACTTTTACTCAAAATGTAACCGTCCGTTTCTTGTCTTGTTCTTCACAGCCAATGTTCCGCAGCCAGACTTCTCAGCTCAGGTGAAGGAATGGGTGGTTCGGCGTGGCTCTGGGAGACCCACCTATGAGGTTGTGACAGCTCGGCCCGTTGAGTGGAAGACGCCCAGCGTCCAGCGCATGTGGCTGGGCCAACAGGATGGGGACAAAGACCGCAGACTGAGGGCTTTCCTCACCATCATGATGAGCGATACTAGCCTGATGCTCAACACCAACTATGTGCCCCAGCATCTACTCGTCATGTGCTGTGTGCTCAGGTAACTGCTGACCTGCTTTCATTTTTAGATGTTAAGTGAGGGCTGTAAGGAAAGACCCAGGTCGGTGATTCCAGAGAATATTGAAATTTTTTCTTCAAAATATCGATTTTTAAAAAATTTGTGGAAAACATTCTTCAACATCTGGTCTATCGGTTCACAATGAGCTTAAGTAGTTGACCCACCCCAAGTTGTAATGATAGCTTGATAACTGTTACAATTGCGACATATAAATAATCAGTAATTTGTAGTTCTGCTGTAACTTTCAAAATAAGCCTCGTCCGGGGTCTAGTAACTGCGCGTTCACATCCCGTTTTCATTGTTTTGGTTTGAACACATAAGAGGGATTGGAGATTTGTTGGAACGTAATTTGGTTGGTCAGCCGTTGTCGTTAGCCTAGAATGACTGTTGCTCGTCCGAGTGTTTGTAGTGAAAGCGCACTTAAACATCAGTAAAACCGTTTCAATCGCGTGTTCGCTTCACATGGCATGACTTCAGCGTTTGAGTTCCGCACGGGTTGAGGACCGTCCAGGGTACATGCACACTGGTTGAAATCTTTTCGAGACTTTGGGGGTGTGTGTGTTAGACACTTGGACTAGGAGTGCTTGACGTGATGCTTCAGGATAAAAAAAAAAATAGGGATAACACACACACAAACACACACACACATAGAGAGCATAATATATATTCAGACCTGCCACTCATCCCGATTTAGTCGGGATATCCCGATTTTTTGCCCCAAATCTCAATACTCCCGATTTTCCCGATTTCGATCCCGTGTATCCCGATTTTTTGTCCCAGTCTGCTGTTGTGCCAGATTTTTCTAAAAACTTGCTCTGCCTTCTCCTTTATCGTGGGAAGCACCCATCGAACTTTTTGTCAGTAGGAACTCGGAGCACTATTTCCCGAAATATCGATGCCGCATTTAGTAGTTGACTCGCCCCAAGTTGTGTGTGATCTTTTCCCGCATTCAGAACTCTCCGATGATAGCCTGGCAACTGTTACAATTTGGGACATTTAATTAATAATAATCGATAATATTCGTTGTTCCGCTATTACTTTCAAAACAAGCCATGTCCGAGGTCTGGTAACTGCGCGAACCCTTACACAACTAACATGTAACTGCGCTGACAAGACTAACTTACGGCCTTTGTCGTTGGTTAAGTCTGAACGCATTATGAGGGATAAGAGATTTGTTGATATATTATTGTTTGGTCGTCGGCCGCCGTTGTTATCCTAGAAGTAGAACGACTGTCGCTCATCCGAGTGTTTTGTGTGAACGTGCAGTTAGTCGGACCCGTTACATGTAGTAAAATTGTTTCATTCGCGCATTCGCGTCACGTGACATGACATCGCCGTGTGAGTTTTGCGTGTCGGGGACCGTCCGTTGACGGGGTCAACTTAAGTTCATGTGTTCTGGGACTTATTGGTAGGGGGGGGGGGGGGGTATAGACCCTTGGACTAGGAGTGCTTGACGCGACGCTTCAGGATTTACAAAAAATAATGATAACACGCACGCACACACGCTCACACACGCTCACACACACACACGCGCGCGCTAACAAACAAACAAAGACACGCACGCAAACAAACAAAAACACACAGAGGGCGTATAGGCCAAGGAATTTATGGACACCACAGGAAAAATTTTAAGCCAGCTTTGGCAGTCACCTTGGTGATTTGCTGTTGATCCCGATTTTTTTCACCAAATCCCGATTTTTTTCTCCCTGAGATCCTGATTTTGAGGTTTCATATAGTGGCAGGTCTGTATATTTATGGAGTGATTTTTGTTCCAGGCAGCTTTTATATTTACCATGACAGTTGACCTCTATCAGGGACACATGCTTTTAAGACTAATATCTCACTGGCTCAAAGTACATGTGAAAATTATATTTAGAGTGATTATGTAACGAGATAGAGAGAAGGGTCATTTTTAGATTGTATGACAGAAAGTCGGGCTTGGCTTTGATTGCCTCAACACTTTGTTACTATAATTGTTATCATTAGGCTTTTGGCTTCAAATTGTAGAAGGCTGACGTAGAAAATTTTGAATTTGAAAAAACACAAGTTGGGTGAAAAGTTCATAGTGTCTATTTAAAGGATTTTTTTAGAGAATGATATTAAGTATCCAATAGTAGAGTGTAGAGTCTTGTTTATAAAATGTCTTCCCTTGCTAAAAGCCTGTAGAAACGAACTTCATTTGCGTCTGTGTCTTTCTTCTAAAAGATATATGATGCAGTATGGCCGCATTCTTCAGAGACAGGAGCTGGAGGCCTTCCTTGCCATGTCCGTTTCTCCATTGTTGCATGATGTTCAAACCATGCAAGATTTGAAGGTAAGTGATGTCAGCTTGTTCACACTTTTATGGACAGTATCAGATTGGTTTTGCTGTTTCTTGTACATGAAGATTGAGGTCATGAGCAAATGATTTTGAATCTGATGCTTCTGGAGCTAAAATGTTACTGAAATTGAAATTTTGCCATTAAATGCATATTTATCCTCAATAGTGTTTGTTTTACAGTCATAGAGTCCTGGTGTGTCAGTATGCTTATATATGATTAAAATTGAAACTGGTAAGATATAATTGAGGTTGATGTGATGAAAATGTGATCCGGACCTCTGAACATTTTTTTGATGAGGTACATCTTGAGTCCTGCTGATCAACTTTGCCTTTAGTTTTGCATCTCACCACATTCTTTTTAAAAATTTTTATAGAAGCGTACAAGCGAGATCCAGAGAATACGGTTTCTTCAGTTTATTTGAAACTAGTTATAATATGTATTGAAAGAATAGGTAATTTTAAAACTTTTAAAAAAGTTGGATCCACTTGAAAAACTTCAGTAACGAATTCCCATTTTTTAGCTTAATCCCACTTGAGGCCTTGTCTTGAATTATGGTTTCTTCAGTTATTTGAAACTAATCATATGTATTGAAAGAATGGGTAATTTTAAAAACTGTTTCAAAAGTTTGATTCACTTAAAAAGGTTCAGTAATGAATGCCTAGTTTTAACTTTATCCCACTTGAGGCCCTGGCCCGAAATTTAACCCCCTCCCCCCTTCCCGAGAAGGTTCACAACTTTGCACAGAGTTAAAGATTTTAAAAAATTGTCCCTGAAAATTAACAGCTCAACAACTGCAACACTATATCCCAATGTTGTTTTCCCTTACATCAAGTAATTGAAGTTATTTTCTTTTTCTCCTTCCTGTGTAGCTCCCCAACATTCTCCCTCGGGGCAGCCAGCTGGCCTCCCTGTTTATGTCTGGCATTGAGACGGCTACTGTGGCCAACGATGTCTGTGGTGCTCCCATCCCTTGGACCATGATTTGCCCTTGGCTGTACTTGGACGGCAAGCTCTTCCACTACAAACTCCTCAAAGCCAACAACAACACGCCTCTCATTGACATGTGTGATGGACAGGTCAGTTCTCACCACAAAATTGGATGTTTTATTGGAACAAGTTGCGCTGGATTCAAACTGCATACATCGTTAATCTTTTTCACATTGAAGCTTTGAATACCAGTGGACAAGATTTTAGAAGTGTTCTTGAAATTGCGAACAAGTGATCAATATTATTCAAGGTTCTGCTGCTACTTTCAAAACAAGCTTTGTCCGAGTTCTTGTTAGTGGGGCCAAAGGCATCCAAAAATAAATAGTTCCGGTATCCTCGGTCGGGCCCACCATCAAAACCCGTCAGTTAAACTGTTTCAGTTGCGCGTTTGCTCCACACGACATGACTGTGGCATGTGAGTTCAGCATGTTTTGGGGACAGTCTGTTCAACTTAAGTTCATGCACACTGGTTGAAGAGTCTTTCAGGACCTATCTGGAGGGTGTGTATGTTAGCCAGATGTGCTTGATGTGATACTTCCGGATTTTAAAAGAATATGAATAAGCACACACACACACACACACAGAGAAGAGAGGGCATATTATACAGGTATATACATGGGTGTATTTATGGACTCTTCGCGAAAATTTTAAAGTCAGCTTGGCAGTCACCTTGGTGATTTGTGGGTGATTTTTTTCCCCTGAGATCCTGATTTTTAGATGTCATATCCTGCTATCAGAATCTTTGATACAGATGGCAATAAGTCTGTCTTGGGGTTGGGGGGAAATCTGCACCTGTTTGTTCTTTCACATGCAACTGTCAAATCCACAGCCTGATTGTATGAGAGTAAAACTGTAGCCCACATGTTTTTTGGTAGTTTTTTTTCTTTGTCTCGTGAATAGTGTTGGTCTATAGTTTATGTAAATTTTTCTATGGATCTTTGTCTGTGTTGTTGGTGTTAAGATATTTGTAAGTGTTTTTATTACTCTATGAGAAATGTGGGTGGAAAGTGATAAAGGACTACCAAGAGTTGTTTTTTTTTGTGTCCACCAAACACGATAAAAGCTGTAGGCCCTTTTGGACAAACTGCAACATATTTCTGGGTACCAACAATGTTCTTTCCTGAGTAATGCAATTTCACTTGTGGTTGACGAGATTTCATCATACAACAAATATCAGTTGAGCCTTGCATCGTTTTCTCTAGAAACAAAGGCACTCAAGATTATTCTGTTAATGGTTGTAGAACAGAAATCTTCGTTTTTCTCAAAACTGGAAGGAAAAAAAATGAATATGTCATGAAACTATTTGTATACAAACTATACCACTTGTTAAACTGTTTTTGCGATCTTGTTTATATTTTGTTTATTTGTGTAGATGGAGCAAGTACTGAGAGTTGAGAGAATGCGACAGGCCATCCTGGAGAATCTACGCGTGGACTTTGCCAAACCTCTTCTGCCTGGATTCTACTACCCCTATCCCAACATGCCATACCCAGGTGCTCCCTTGCCTTATGCCCCTGCTGGGGCTTCCAGAGGCAGAGGAGGACCGCCGGGGCGCCAGATGGGCAGGGGTAGAGGGATTCTAGGTAATTATGGTAATAACACACATTTCTACTCTTTCTCAATGTTGTGCTTGCAGCTTCAGATGTTGTACTGGTCGATTCCTACGTGGTATGTTGTAAAACGCACTGACAGCATTCAGGCGTAGCTTGTGCCCATAGAAATAAATCGACAGCGTTTTTCAGTGCTTCCAATCTTCCGTATTTTGACGGAAAAGCATACTTTTTGACAGTTTTGTACTTGCTTCCCCATCATTATCAAATCCATCCGTAAAAAAGTATTGGCATAGGGCTAACGAGGTTCTGTAGCAAAGGATCCGTTCTTGCTGTCATGTCGTCTTGTATAATTTCTGGATATTTATGAATTCTCATGGCAATAAGTGTTACTTACAAAAAACTGCCAGATTGTGCATTTCCTGCAATCGACCATTATCCCGCTATGATTCTGAAAAGATATTACGGAAAACGGAGAAAAACAACCGGATGTGCGCGTCCACCCACGCCCTATTTCAAGTGACTAATGGACGAGCTCAGAATTATCATGCGGGTATTTGTAGGTTATATACATTTGTCGAGGGAGTGCCAGGGAAATGGCTTGTCACCTTGTGAAGCCGCTTGGGGGGGGGGGGGGGGGGGGGGGGGGTGCTAGTGGAAAATTTATATCTAAGCAACTACTTGACATAAAACTTTCAAATTAGAGGACACTATAGAGAAAAGATAGTTCTGTTACCTTCTTGACGTTGCAAATCAAGCTCCTTGTAGTTTATAAAATACCCAATATGAAAGTGTTTCTGACCACAAAAATACAGGTAAATTTATGTGTACAATACTCGTCGCCATATTTTCTGATTGGTTGCCAAGTTTAATTCATGTTGGTCCAGAAATAAAGCCAACTGAGTTTGAAAAAGTTCGTCACCTACGATCTGATCCAGTCCAAAAATACACCCAACGATTGATGACCTAAAATTTGTCACGTACGCAAGCTCAATTGGAATTGCTACATGATAGTGATATTTTAAAACCAATTTCCTCCTTTCTTTTGGTCACTCATACCTTGTTTGTAGTTTACTGGATTCACAAAGGGGACACTTCTGGCGTACCCTCATTTTTAATTGTCTGAAGTTGAGGGAGGAGGATAACCAGAAGCAGTATTATGTCTGATTCAAGAATTGTAAAGTGACAATCCAGTATTCTCACAGAAATTTTCGTGTTCTTGCCTATCATTGGATTGTTTTTGCAGCTGGAAAATCTTTGCTGTAGGTAAACTCACTTGTGGTTTTCCAAAAGAAAATCACTTTCAGGAACTTTGAAAATTTTTTTTGTCTAGACGGAGAAAATGGTTAGCAGCAGTGAAGGAAATTTATGCTAGAACTACTAAAATCAAGAATAATTTGAAGTGTTGTTCTGTGGTTGTGAAAGTCGACGTTCAAATGTGAAAATGGATGATCATTAGGGTATACGTTATCACCAAGTCTATTCGTTATTCCCAGATTTGACTTCTGTCAATGATGCTATGACAAATAGTGGGCCCCCAAACTCACGGCAGAATTTTCCTTTTCAGCTTCAGCTGTTGGAAGCACTGTTTATTTTTTGGGGGAGGCAGAACTGGAAAATTAAGATGTGAGAATTAGTGCAAAAATTTTCTTGGTGGGCCATTCTTTGAATCGTACACAATCTAGCCAAGTTACTAAATATATGTACTCCCAGACTTCAAAAAGTACTTAAGTGATTTGCACAAGCTAGGCTTATGATGCTCATCCTTTCTCATTACTTTGTATATCACTTTTTATGCAATTTATTTGTTTCTGTGAGAGGGACGGGATGGGGATCTCTGTCATCAACATGTCGTAGTTTAGATTCTACTTTATCAGTATCACATTGCTCCTGCATGAGCAAGTTTGTAACTATCTCCTCAGTCCCCAACTGTTTGAATGTTAAGAGATGTTAAGGAATGTGACTGAACTTTTTCTCCTCTATTTACATAGCTTTTGTATCCTTTACGCTGCTTCTGTAATGTTGCTTGAGCTTGCTTACTTTGTAGACATATACTAGCTTTTGATAAACAATTTCTTCTTGTTTCAGTGAAAATAGGTTTACTAACTGTAGTTGAATGAACGTGCTCTATCGGCCACCTAACCAAGACAGTTTTCTGTACAAATGACCACTTCTCTTTTCTCCCTTTGTGTTTTCTATATATTGTAATGACATTGTTCAAGAGGACCATGCGTCTAAGATTACCGTTTTACTCCTCAACTATGGGTGATTGTCTTTGACAGGTTTGTCTGACTAGTTTTATAAAATTTGCAAAGACAGAATTTCCCATACGTGGCTAAATTATATGTTCCAGTCACATGAAGAAAAATTATAGTTCTCTGTGTTCATATTTACCCTAGGTCCATTCAGGAACAGACATGTATTATTCAGAGATGTACCTGATTTAACCAGGATGCCACACATCTAAGTTTGAATCTTGTTTTATATGTGTCTGAAATATAATTGTTTTAGCCTGCTCTTGTAATGGACAGTTGAATTTGTGGAGAAAAGTTGTCATCTTTCACAATGTCATTTTGTAACAACAAACACACACACACACACTCCCAACGTAACTGTTTCCCTACCAGGCCAAAATCCACCACTGGCCCAGGGCTTTTCCCCTATTTTTACGCCTCTACCCCGCCAAAAGATAATGTCAAAACATCCAACTAAACACACACAAACCATATCTTACGGCCCATCAAACTGAAGGTTAAAAAATAATCTGTCAGATGGCGATACAATATTGAAGATTTATTCCAATTATATTACTTTGGCAGAGATGCCAACCAGTACGATTTTGCGTATTTTAGTACGATTTTTTGCCGAAAGTACGCAAATACGACTTTTCATGAAAAAATACGCATCCTGGAATGCGAAAAATACGAGATTCAGCTTGGGCGAGTAAACCTCCAGTCCCAACTTTTGTCAAAATAGTATCAGTATCGCAGAACTGGAATATTTGAAAACCAAGTCCGATGTGGTCAGTAACTTCATTTTTGCCGATTGTGATATTATATTCGTTCAGCTTTTCCCCGTCCGGAGAGTACGTTTCACTTCACGTGATAGGCAGCTATGGCGGCAGGTGGAAGGGTATGTGACACCGAGGCTAGATCGGGAAAATAAAGATCTACTTTCACTTTCGTTACCGCCGAGAAGTGTGCCAGCAGTTGTCTGATAATGCAACATTTGTGTCATGCAGGTCGTGCAGTATAAACGCAATGTCGCCGTGCAAATAAAATGTTATTAAATACCCGGACTCATCACTGTGCTGTCACTTGTGGAAGAAAAACAAGAAAAGAAAATACAAGCGTCGTCCGATTTTTAGATTGTCTGGCTCGTCATCGTGACCGGTCACTGAACCTGCGCGCATTTGCATCATAAATAAATGCAGCATCGTGTGAGTAAAAACCGTCTTTGGTGGGAGTAACGGCGTTGCGAAGTATATGACTACGGAATATGGGAGGGGATTATTGATTTTTTTGGGGGTTTAAGATACTATGGGGGGGGGGGGTTAAGGCAACACCAGAGGACAAAAACATGGAAGCACATTTCAGAATTTTGATTAGAGCTGTCTGCAAAGCGCGCGTTGGTGCAGGCCGTGTGCGGAATAGGGACCCCTCATACTTTGCAAGTTTGTGTTATTGAAATAGTGTTGTTAGCGTTTCGTTGGATGGGTGATACATGTAGTAAATTATTCCTACTTACATGGGTGATAGTAAATTATACCTGCAGTGTATGTTGTAGCTTTCTGTTCAAGACTGGCAGATTTTCAGTGTCACTGCATCTTGCCTTACCACAGTTGTTACAACTCTCACAGTGCATGGGTTTACTTGAGCCATTCAAGTTATTGCTTTTCTCTGAGTTTGAGCAATAATTTGAGTATGTCAGTTCATAATATGAACCAGACTGGTTCTTGATAGTCGAAATTCTTGTTCTAGGCCCTTCCGAACTCTCAAAGCAGGATTTTTAAAAAATATAATAATGAGAGGAAAATATTATATAATAGACTGAAATACTTATCTCAAACAAGACCCCAGTGCGACACTGAACACTGACATGTTGTTGACTGGATACATGTATTGTACATGTGTGTGCTCCCCTTTTCGGGCTGATGAGCTAGTCATTTTTTTTCAGAAAATAATACTGGACACCTTCAACATTTTACTATTACTGGTTGGTCGGTCAGTCATGGGAAATACACATTTTCTCCTGAAAATACACATTTTCATATTTCCCAATACTCATTTCAGTTTTCTGTGGTTGGCATCTCTGCTGTGGGGTTTCTAAAAGTGATTATGCAATATCGAAAGCGTCATATGAAATCAACAATTTTCCAGCTTTGAAAGGTTATATCTTAAAAAGTACAACAGCAGCATAATTCAAACTTCCCTAGTAGGTTGCCTCAAGTAATGCGAAGAAATGCTGAAAGTTATGTATGTGTACCTAATGTAGAAGTGAAAATATGAGACTACTGAAGTCAGGGTAACGCTTTTCCCCCCACATATTTACGTTTCGAAGGGGACAAAAAAAAAGGCGCTGAAATGACTAAAATTCGTCTATCAGTGCTATATTGTCTTTCGTATCGGCTAACAGGTAGTCTATTCTCTCATTTTGAAAACGTGGATCGGCCGAGAATTTCGTGTCTTTTCATTACGGGATTGGAATAGATAGCAAGCCACTCGAGCCGTATTTTGTGGCTCTCGGTCCAGCGAGCCAAGGTCCGCTGCGGCTCGTGTTAGGGAAAGTGTTAAGGGGTAACTAAGAAGTGGTCATTTGTACAGGTGATTGTCTTATACAGATGGCCATTAACCATTTAACTTCTGTCCATCCCCCCCGAAACCATCGAAAAGGGAGACAATTATCTAAAAATAGCATGCATACTATGGTGGCAGTGTCTCATGTTTGGTGATTGAAACGGAGCACAGTTTGTGAATCGTTTGCTCTAAGTGTTAAATGGTTCAAGCAAGTTTGAGTGTGGGCAGACGAACATGCTAAACTAAAGTGACTGTTGTATGCTGTAGCTTGGTGGTTTATGTAGTACGAAAGGGTTGGTTTCCTTGTAGACTCAAATGATAGTGTGTATGCCCATTTGTAGCATTTGTTGTTGCATCAAAAGTGTCTAAGTTGGTCATCCTTCATATATCAGTTAGTGGTTGGTTGGCGGGTGCTCTGGTGTGGTTTGCTCCTTCTTTCCTATCAAACATCTATCGTCCCCATCTCTCCTCCTCTTTTTTTGCGTTTGTTACTCTCTTGTAACACCTAATCTTCGGCACTTATATGACCGTATTGTTTTGCAAGTGCCGTAAAACTCTTTACTGAAACAATAAACATATATCAGTTAAGTTAACTGGTTTATCTGTAGCCCTCCAGTCCTCACCACAACAGACTAGAAAGATGTCTTGCACTGTGGTCCCCAAAAGAAGACGACCGACAGGTGCTACTGCTATTCAATTCATATTTGAGTTTTAAAATTAAAATATTTTCTTGTTGACTTGTTGAACTTATCAGCTTTTTCAATTTTGCATGTTAAAATGTTTGAGTCTACCTAGTTTGTCGTTTACTGGATTCACAAAGGGGACTCTTTGGGGTTTATCCTCATTTTTTTTATTATGTCTGAAGTTTTGGGAGGAGGATAACCAGGAGCAGTATTAAGTCTCAGTGGTTCAGGAATTCTTAAGTGGCAGTCCAGTATTCTCACAGGAATTTTCATGTTGTCTTAAATAACATTTCCAGACACATAACTAGGAATTATTGTTTGGGAATCATAAGTAGTGGTCATAATACTCTTTTATGTGATAGCTTTGTAAATATTAAGTTTTTTGTTTTTGTTTGTTTGTTTCTCCTTTTTCATGTGCTTGCATGCCTGTTTTTCTTACCAGTATTTGTTCACATTTTTTATTTTATTTTTTTTATATTTTAAAAATTGAAGCTGAAATGCTGAACTGTTGTTTTCTTTTATTGCTTTATTTTTAAAAATGTACATAATTTTTCTGCAGGTTCTATTTCATTGGTTCAGTACCTGCCACTCATTCCGATTTAATCGGGATATCCTGATCGATTTGTGTCTCCCCCGATCCCAAGCATCCTGATTCTATACAATAACAAGGTACCTTGTTATTGTATAAAATCACGCGCTTATTGCATGGGTGGTTAAAGTTATGTGTAAGCTAATTTCAAGACTAAGAGAGTTTCAGCAACACTGTAACCTGCGCTCCCCCAGTCTAACTCTGACTCGATAACATGCTCTCTTTCAGTTTTTTCCTGTACTTAGAGGACAGATATGAACTTATTCATGCAAAAGTTTTGCCTTGTATGCTTGCCTCACAAAAGGGAACCTGGATCTCCCCCCAATTAAATTGCCCATTCTTACTGATTTGCCGTTGATCCCGATTATTTTTGTTCTCACCAGAATCTGATTTTTAGATTTCATAGAGTGGCAGGTCTGATTCAGTGTAGTTGTTTTTCTTTGGTTTTCTATTCTTTGTATTTTAATTGAAATAAATTCTAAGGCAGTTACAGGAATGGTACTGAGCTAACACCATAATATTGGCTTTATTCTGCAGTGCCAAGCATTAAGAACATGTTCTCGTATACACTGCTTGATTTTCTACCTTTTGCTTAGTAAAGTTTGTTGATCAGAAATCCGTCTGTGTGGGTTATGGGCTGCCAGCATGAGCCTTGCACCTTGCATAATACCTGCACTTTAATATACCACTTTTCAATAGAAAGGGCATTATGATCTCTTGAATCTCGGCTGTCTTAGATTCTGTAAGTGGGTGGTTGCGGGTGTTCTTGTGTGGCTTGTATCTTCGTTTCCAATAGATATCTATCGTCTTTGTCTCTCCTTTTCTTTGTTACTTTCAAGTAACACCTTTAATCTTCGGCACATATGACACCTTTAATCTTCGGCACATATGACCTAATTGTGTTGCAAGTGCTGTAAAACTTCCTAAACTAGAACTAAAGCTTCTCTAAGCTCGCCCCAAACATAGATTATTCATACCTATTGTAATTAAAATTTGACAAGTGTTTGTTTGTTTGCAGGGCGGTCACCTGTGGAAGCCCAGGGAGGTCAGTTGGAGATTGCTGGTGTTGTTGTTGGCCAGTGGGGCCCAAACACTTCCAACCGCAGGGGACGAGGAGGGCAGATGCCACCTCAAGTCATGTCTGTTGGCCAAAGAGGAAGGTAAAAATGTTTTCTATATTTATCATTATTACCTGTCCAGTCTCTGAACAGCGACTTCTTCCTTTTTTTGTTGAGATCAATAAGTTATATCTTATACATGTTGGTGGTAGAGAGACTAGTTGTTGACAAGGACAAAAGAGCAAGCATTAACTCACTTCAGACGGTTCACACAACAGTTGCGTGACCCCTGCCGCGACGTTCGCGACGGCTCCCACAAGCCCTGCGTGACCAACTTTGGAATTTTTTTACGCTCTACAAATCACGCACGGATCACGAGACCCGCCTCGTACCCTTGTTTGGCCAAGCCTGAGCTACGTAGACTTCGTTTCGTATCTCTGAGGGCGGTAGTTTTTAAGTTATTGAAGGTGAAGGACAGTGATCCCAACTGGGATTGAACAGACCGGAACTCGCGCTTTGTTTTTTTCTATACAGCTGATAGTGATCCGACAGTCGCGTCGTAGTAACGGTCGAAGAGGTCGCATGAACAAGAATCACATAATTTCGCCGTTTTCTATACTTCTGTACGTTTTACTATTTCTAGTGTCTCAGAATATGATGTGTCTGATAGTTAGGATCCTGGATATGTACCCGAACACGGCCCGAGTCGTAGTTATAGGGCTAGAACTAGCACTAGTACTGGTGTTGTTTTTCACGCAACGAAATCACAACGTCGTGCCGTACATCTGTCTCATGTAATTCAGTGTATGGGTCTGAATCAATGCACAGACCAGCTTTTATATTTTCACCAAACACTCGCACATGGATACAAATCAAACCAGAACACTTTGAACTTTTATTTTTGTTATTGTAGTGAATTTCATTCTACCTGTCACGTCTCTGGAAATTTTTCGGAAAATCAAATTCATGCCAATTTTTAAAAAATCATACAAATTAAAGTGTTAGACTTAAACAACTTTAGTTTTTTGTATTAGATTAAGCTTGAATGTTACTTTACTGTGTCAAAAAATAATTACAATAGGATAATTCTGAGAGTTGTTGTGATTTGTTGAAATACCCCCAAAAGCGCCAGTCTTCAATGCTTGTGACTGGTGAAAGGGCCCAGTCGTAGGTGAGTTAAGGATACTGTGATGTTTGCCATTAGTTTGTCCATGAAATAGAAGTTTGATGAAAAGAAATAAAACTTGCTACACCCAAGGTTGACTCGATTATTATTTTTTTTTTTACGAACTTTTCCTGACAGAGGTTTATACAACGGCAGAGGTGGCTTCCTGCCTGGTAGAGGGGGACTGATCCGAGGCAGACCAGTGGCTCCCTTGTACAGCGGCCGTGGTGCATACAGACCAGGGGTATGTATTTTGTTTCTGGAACACAAGATTGCTTGTGAATTTTTCTACATTCTCCACCCTAATGCGCTTGGGATTGCCTGCTCAGACCAGGCATCTTCTTTAGAAATGATGTCTCTCCTTGACGAAACTTCACGGCCAAGGTTTCATTTTATATAGTTATTGCAAAATGTTTCTTCTTGTTTGCTCTAGTTGAAAAGCAATATTTTTGAGCTAGAACTAGAAAATAGTGATGGATATAAGCAGGGCTGTCTAAATCTACAGATTTGTCTGGCAGTTACTGATTTCAGACCTGTGGCATCGGTGGCCTAGTGGTTAGGCTCTCGGACTCGCAACCGTAAGGTCGAGGGTTCGAATCCCGTCAGGGACCCGACGTTGTGTCCTTGGGAAAGGCACTTTACACGAATTTTCCTCACTTCACCCAGGTGAGAATGGGTACCCGGCTATAGACAGCGAAAGATCTTGTCAGTTTGTTAGTGTTTGAGCGCTTAATCAGCTGCTTGCACTGTATGCTTCCCAGGAAGCTGAGAATGTTTCGAAACGTTCTATGGTCTGCTGGGGTAATAATATAGTGTAAAGCGCATAGAGCCTGCTGTTGAGCGGGGATATGCGCTATACAAATGCTATTTATTATTATTATAATTATTATTATTTACCGTCATACCGATTAACTCATTCGCTACGTATTATTTTCGGCTTGTGGACGAATTCTTCTCGGAAGGGCGAAATGAGATGATGAGTAGTGCACAGTTCACAGGTCTTTGGGGCCATAAATTCAAAAAAATATCAACATATTATATACCAACATTTTCAGTATGGTTTGTAGAATACATCTGCATTATTTAATTGCGTATTTTTCAACTTTGGTTCCTGTAAGAGGCGATTATGCAACACAATTGTAATTGGATGCGGATAAAATTGGAAAATAAACAATTTATAATCTCAGGAGAAACTTAAAAAATATGTTTGCACCTAGTCAAATGATACCTCAAAATAACCATAACTGTATGTAGAACAGGAAAATATTGGAAAATGTGCTGTTATTTACATACATTCCATAATATTTGTACATTTGGATCATATCATCTGATATTGAAAAAAAAAACATTTTAAAAAATAATTTTGAAAAAAGGATCACAAACAAAAAAATACGCGTATCTTATACGGAATTATTCAGAATTGCATTTGGAATAAACCTATACATGTCTTGAGAGGTACTTTTTGATTAATTTCACCCAAAAGTAGTGATTTTGGGGAGAAAAAAATATTTTGACTATTTAGATCTAGGCGGAGATCTAGCACTCAAAAATATTGATTTCTCAATTACAGTGCACCGGCAATTTGCGTTCAATAGTATCAATATTATAAAGAAGCATATTTCTTTATGAGTCCTACATTTCTTAGTGAACAAAGTAATGATACATTTTGTTGTGTCAAAGTACTAAGACCGATGTCTGGGCTATAATTTGGGCTTCGCAATAAAACAGTGTCGCATAAACTTCAAAATCCTGTTTCAAAACTGAATCAAAACTTCCGATTTTCGGTGGAAACGCTTGACCCGGAAGTCAACATTATATTATGACCTTCATTTTAACGTGGATTGGAATAGAAACCAAGCTAAAATTGAACGTCGATTCTCAAGCCGCCGGGGACGGCTTAGCGTACTGACAGCACTTGAGCCGCGCCGCCCCCCACGGCTCGGCGTAGCGAATGAGTTAAGATGTAGAAAACACCGAATTTGCAACGTCTGGAGAGAGTTTAAGGAGGGAAAAAAAGGCCCATTCTGCAATGCTTCCAGTCTTTTGTTTTTATTACGGAAATCCGTATCCCGAAAATCCCGTACATTGTCATATCAACGCCATCGGTTAAAATTAAAAGAACAAAAATGGAAAACAAAATGAGGTAGTATAGGCTTATTGGTTTATCAAAGGATCCAGACATATAGCTTCTCTGGCATTTATGATCACTCTCGGTAATAAGTTGTACACTCAACCATTGTTCCTCAATCAGGCCTGTAAATTTTCCAACTATTGTTAGATTTCCAACAATTTTGAACGGGTCGGAAAAATCCGATCAAGTATCAGCCCAATCTCCAACTTGATCAAGTTTATTTAATTATTTTTCGACAACGAATGTCGGAAGTACGAACTGTGAAGACTACTGATGTAAGTTTACAGCATGGGTGGAATGGGCAGGAGCCAAAGGCCCTTTGTTTATATCCAGTTAGGACTTGGACTTTGTAGCTGGTCAGAGAGAGAGACTCGCGGTCATGGCGTGCGTTGCCCAAGAGTTTGGGACTAAAAACACCGACCTCAAGCAGTTGGAAAGCTCAGTTAAAAACAACAGGAGTTCATCTTGTCATGTTTTATTGTTTCATGCAGGATTGTGGTGGGCTTGTAGTCGACTGTCAAAAAAATTTCAGACAATTTTATCACCAGTCAATTCATCCATTGCAGGTTGGTTGACCTTAGGGTATAATGTGTAAATGTTCCAATTCGATAAAAATATCTAGAATAGTTTTTGAGCTACGCATGACCAAAGACAGCCGTCTTAGCTTTGGTAATGAGGGTAATATACATCCGCTTTTCAACTTGTTAAGTAAAAATGTCCTTGAAAACCCCTTGAATTTTGCCAGATCGGACAGAAACACATGGTGACTCCCGGGGGCACCTGAGTTCATTTTCGCCGGTCGCGATTGTGATATAATATTCATTCTGCCTTTTCCGGCCCGAGAGTACGTTACCCGCGCACAGGCGGCTATGGCGGCAACTAGTGGCAGTGTATGTGCTATACCGAAGCTCGATCGGGAAAATGAAGATCTGCTTTCGCTTTCGTTACCGCCCAGAAATTTGCCGGTAGGGCCTATAGCAGTCTGATAACGCCACATTTGTAACATGCAGGTTCTGCATTACAAACGCGGTGTCGTCATGGAAATAAATAATTTGTCCTGTGTTATCGCTTGTGGGAAAATAAAGAAGAAGAAAAAATTATACAAGCTTCTTGTCTGGCTCGCCATTGTGACCGGTCATTGAACCTGTGCGTTTTCGTCACATCATGAGTAGCGGCAATGGTTGAGGTCACCAGAGTTCATGCAAAGTTTGAGCGCTGCGAAGTATAGGACTCAGGAATGTGGGTATTATTGAGTTTTTTTTAAAAGACGCTCACGGGGGAGGGGGTTGGCAGAATGGGGTTGAAGGCAACACCTGGAAAATTGAGAAGCTGGGTTGGCAGTCACCCTGGGAAGAGTTTTTGTTGGAAATCGAAACTATGATATGATTCCTTTCCGACAAGTGTTGGCCTTTTGAAAATAGGCTTTCGTCGTGAATTTCTTGACCAAACCTCCTTGAATTTTAAAATTTTCTCCTTGAAACCTCCTTGAATTTGATGGGAAGTTCATGGCAGGAACCCTGAATTTTGTTTCTTTATCACTTTGAAAAAGAAACATTTTGCAATAACTACAGTCGAACTTGTCATGAGACGGAAACCCTGTCATAATGTAATCTCCCAATGTCTACGACGGGATTTTTTTCTGGTTTCCTTGCGATTCCGCCTTACACTAGTTCAACTGTATTCAGAATGAACTCTCAGCCCCACTTTTGTTGAGGCGAATCTGTTTCTAATGACGCTTGTTCTGAGTGCGCATTTCCAGTCATGTCGGGGTGACGCGTATAAAGAAATTTATGGATGATCCTGGGCGAGTTGGGATGTAATGTGATGATGATAATGATAATATCATTTGTGTAGCGCAAATTCCTGCTTATCAGCAAGAAGCTCTTTGCACTTTACAATTTATGTTATTACCCCATCAGACCTGATAGCATTCTCAAACTATCTCAACTTCCTTCGAAGCAAACTTTGCAAGCTATCATTTTACAGGCGCTAAAACCCTTACCAACAAGATCTTTTGCTGTCTATGGTGGGGTACCATTCAAACCTTGGTGAAGTGAGGAAACCTCATGTTGCCTTTTCCAGGTACACAACATTGGGCTTGAGCCTTGAACCCATGAATATGCAACTTCATGATTACGAGTCTGGTAGCATAGCCACTAGACGAGACCATGGAAGTCGGAACATATTAATAGCATATATCACTGGTACCCCTGGGACCTATTTGTATTACAAGTGCTGTAAAAATTTTATTTCTAAAACTTAAATTGTATTTGTGTTTTCAGTATTATGGCCGGGGTCGGGGCTCCCCATCCAAGCGACCCGTGAGGATTGTCGCCCGGCCAGGGAGAGGCAGAACAGTGAAGGCTGCCCCTGCCAAGGGACGTGGTGTCACTGTTGATGTATCTTCTACGTGAGTTTTGTACATACAAACACCGCCAATGATATTTGTTCCTTTGATTTGTCAGATCAGATGTGTTAGATTATTTCCAAGATGAGAGAAAGAGACAAGCACATTTTTTTTTAAATTAAAAAAATAATTCTTTTAAGCAGTTACAATGTCCGTTCTTTTTTTATAGTCTCAAGAGCAGAAATGCATGCTTTAGGTGCGTGAAATGAGAATTGCTGAAAGTTCAACGATAGACCTAAAAGTTGAAAAGTACCCAAAATTATGTCGGGCAGCTAACCCTGTAACCCCGATGTGACAAGGCACTGGGCGTCCCACTGCCCCGCGGCTGCAACTGAAATTCCACTGCTGGTGCGCCGTGGCATAAACACATAATGAGAAGTATCGGGGAACATTTCTTTCAAACAGCTGGGGCTCTATCTTTCCTATGTATTCAGTTATCATTTTTCTTTAAAAGTATTGTAGTTGAAAGGGTTATTGATGTTTTACCAGCAAGTGGTAATATTGACCTTTGTGTGCATCCTCAGAATGAAGTCAAAGACTAACGAGCAGGACTATGATGAGGTGGATGAGGAGGTGAATGGTGGATATAGTGGAGCATCAGAGGATGAGGAAGAGGAGGAGACCAGCAACGCCACTGTCAGCGTCAATGCATAAACATTGCCAAACCTGGAAGGACCACATGTTGGATTTTTATGATTAAATTCTTTTTTTTTTTTTAACATGAATCTCTGCTTCATTAGTGAAACTTATCCATGCTGTAGTAGTTACTTTGGTGTAACTGGACAGTTGTTTTTTAAAGCCTGCATCCCTCCTAAAATGAAACCGTTAGTCTAATTGTAGTTGTACTGTTGGAAAGCCGTGTCTGAAAATATAGCAGGAAGACATCAGAAAATAACTTTTATCGTAGTGGGTTTTTTTCTCCTTTATTATATCACTTCAGTTGAACAGATTTTGTCTTGACCTCAAAACCACATTGATTATTGAGCATGGATTTATTATCAACTTTGGTTAAGAGATCTTGCAGATTGTAATGGGCATTATGCTAATCAAACTGCTTGTTACATAATTCTCTATCTGTTCATTTACATATTGTACAAAACATTCATCCCCACCTCACCCAAGTATTTTAATTTGTTGGTTCAACTCTCCCTCAAAATCAAAGTCCTTTATGTTTTTCACCTCATCAAGAGATTTCAAGTCATTTGTTAGTTAAATATTTCTTCCTATTGGATTCAGAGTGCTGAGGTTTGAGTTGGTTACAAGAACAAAAGAGATTCCCTGTAATTGTGTCATTGGCTGCCATTTTGTGTACATACAGCGATAATTAAATTGTTCATTGGTATGTGAGAGTGATCTGAAGTTGAAAAGAAGTCCTGGTGCTTTTTCTGTCTGTCTTGTCTTTCTCAGAGTGGGGTGGGTTTTTTTTGTTTTTTGTTGTTGATATGTTGTTTTATTAATGTTTATCAGCACTGTAGAAGCACACATTGTGTGCAAAGTACATCTTGATATTGTTTGCTAAAATTTGTCTTTTCCAAGAGTTGTCCTCTCATTTCAGGTCATCGACACAGGGCCGTAAAAGGATATTCAGAAAACATGATCATGATCTGATATATTGGAATGCTGTCAGAACTTGGATGAAATCAGAAACATGAATTCTCCAGAAAACAATGGTGCTGGCTTACATGTTGGCAGCTTACCATGTCATTCATAATTCTGTTCAGCTTTTTCTTTTGTAGTGAATGTAAAATCTATTTGTCGTCGTCGTAGTGATATCTCGTTCAGATAAAAGTATCTAATAGATTAATTTCAATGTGTCGGATGACTTGAATGGGTTTATCATTTTTTTCCTTACTTTTTTTTTTTAGTTCCTCTGTAATTGTACCGTATCCAAAATCTTCAGAAACAGATTGGATTTGCTCCCCAAGGTTTTGCAATCTTAATGTAATTTAGCTTGAGGATTTCACATTTGTTTTTCTGCCATGGAGGAGTTAACTTCAATAATAACTATCATGAGTGACCTCCTGGCTGCTGTCACACACACACTCCCCAACCCCTTTTCCTCCCATTGTGAAAAGGTGTAGTGTGATGGAGAACTCTTTTCATGTGGTAAAAGTTTCTTCAAGTCTTGTTGAACCATCAGTATTCCACTAAACAATTACAGAGTTGTATGTATGTACATAGACTGTAGTTATTAATAGATTGAATTTCATTTTTGTTTGCTGTTCATTGCCATTGTTGGAAGAGATTTTTACCACTGAGAAGATTTCTGTTTCAAGTAAAGAGTATACTTTGCTAACACATGTGTGAAGAGAGATAAGTTCAAATTATCAGACAAATATTGGAAAAAAAAAAAAGAAAAAAAAAAGCCAGCCCCCCCCCCACTCCCACTATTTATGAAGTCACTGATATATAATCAATGCTAATGTCATTTTTGTTGTTTTTAATACCTTTATAGTGCGAGTGCTGTATGTGAGTGATTTTGTTTTTGAAAGCCTCTGAATTCAGTAGGAAGTGGTGTTTTTGGTATGTACAAGAACAGAAATTTCTGAAAGTACAGAAATATGGACTTGTCTCTAAATGTCGTGATCCATGTTTTTTAAAAATTTTCGTTTAATGAATTACAGACAAGTGTGGTAGGAAATTATTTTGATTAAACTGAACTTTCTTTGTCAGCCACATTACCCATCGTTCGAGCTTTATCTTGTACACACCATTAACAACAACAACCTCTTTGCAGTATGTTTATCATGCTAAGCATTGCAAAAAGGTGGAGAAGGATTACCTTCATGTGTTCTAACTGTTTGAACATTTGTCTAAAAGCATAGTGCAAGTGGATATTAGTTTGTATTTGCAGTAAGTGAAGTCAGTTTTCACCAATCGTCTCATACACCATTTACATTGTGTATCTGTTTTGGTAATGAATTCTGCCTGGAACGTTACTTCAGTTTATTACAAATTCATTGTTTTTGCTCGCAAACATTCATGAATGAATTCCACTTGCTACAGGTATTTTCTCAAATGTTCAAACGGTGTAGAGAGCACCATTCTAATTGAAACTTCTCAACACTTTGCCCCAGTGTGTACCACTCAGGTTCCAGACGGCCTCTCACAAAGGACTCTTGTTGATGTTGGGCACAGTGGGCAGCTTTTCTCCCACCGCCGCCTACATTACATTGCATTTATAATGTCCACATGAGAACAGACGGTCGAGATGGCTTTGCTGTCTGTTCTCTATGTCATACATGCTTCTGTGATCCCTGCAGTGAAAAATGAATAGCGAGAGATCTGGATGCTGTTCAGCCAAACCTTTTAGTGGATGAAGTTATGCAGAATTTTCATGCAGTCTCGGAACTGCTGCAACAAACGGCAGTGACAATTCTGTTATGGTCAGGTGTGATTGAATGAGGTGCTTTGGTTGAAGTAATGCTGTTTTTGTGATGGGGGGAAAATCAAAGCCAGTATATTACTACTGTTCTCTCCCTGCCCGGACTTGAGTGGACTTCTGGCAGATGTTCACCTGATATATTTTTGAATCAATTTTACAAAGAAGTGTATTGTTTTGTACATTTCACAGCTTGTTTTTGTACAATCTTGGATGGATTTTGGTACCGATCTTTTAATTTGTCGATGAATGGTAATGCATGGCAATGTATTTCTTTTGCTTTGGATTGTGATCATGCAGTGGTAAGTTTGCTGATCAGGCGTGGTGTTGAGTCTGGAAGCAAGCTTTTCACCGTGTGTCACAGCCAGGGGCAAAGACTGGAAGATGGATTTTCCTAGCTTATAGCTAAGGAAGATAATTGAAGGACAAACTAAGATTTTATAAAAAGCGTCTTTGTATTGAGGCCTGGTAGCAAATGGCCCGTGCTAAGGGTCGACTCTTCAGGAGCACACTTTCCATATCCCTCAGACATCTCCTCGATTACTCGCAATGACCTGGTGTGTAGTAACTTGGTGTGGTGGAAAGTTCATGACATGATAAAACAAGCTGAGAAGGCATAGCAGGATAGGATCAGTTATTTAGATAATGGAACCCTCGTTATTACAATTTGTTAGCTATTGGCTGTATTGCTGATTTGGATCAATTTTTTCTTGTTAGTTTCATGGTAGTCTTCTTTTTTTTTCTAGAATTTTAACGAATCTTTTCTCTGTCTGGAAACTTGAAAGATTATAAACTGACAATTTTTTTAACATCTGTATTTTTTTTTTCCTATGATGAGCAGTAGTTTTTTTCCTCACTGATTTGTATTATTTAGGTCCTTATCCCTGCTTTGTGTTGGATGATATAAGATTGAACAAAAACTTGAGATTATGAGAAACTGAACAACAGTTGAACTGTTTCTCGTCCTGACTTTTCCTTTCCCAGTGAAATGGTGAATGGTGTTAAAACTCGATATCAGACTAATATTACTTCTAAGATGTCAGAAAAATATCTGTGAAGCTTTCTTTACCCATTTGTGAATTTAATTACTTTTTGGCCAAACTACTCCTCTTTTTGGAATGAAGTAAATGATAACTTTTGCTAAAGAGAGTCACAAATTTAAAACTGTCCTAAATATCAATGAAATTGATTTGCTTCTGCAACTCTTACATACATCCACAGTATGATTAAGCAAAAAAGGAAATCAACAACATGCAAATTTTCTTGTGTGAAAAAAAACACATTTTGAACAGTGCTGAAATATGCACAGATGCTTGTGAGCATCAACCCGTGGATCAATACATTATGTGGGCAATAAGATGGCAGGAATTGCTTTTAAAAAAAAAAAATTGGCTTGACTATTGCCACTGTAGAGTGAGAATGAGCCAGATAACAGAGCTTTTTATAGCTGGAACACGTAGGAACAATCATATAGGCCACATAATCTATTGATTTATTTTTCCTTCTATCTATCCCCTTCATTCCCTTTGTCATTGAGTAAAGGGTCTCTTAAAGACTTGCAAAATAAAAGCAGTGCTTTTTGCGCTTTGCTGCAATATACCTTAGGAGAGCAAGGGCTCAAGCAGATTTCTGCTGAGATTTTTTCAATCAACCTGTAATTTTTTTCTAATGATATAGTGACGTGCTTTACGTGGTGTTGCATTGTATATATACTATGACGGTGTCACTGAATTTCCTTTCCCTTTGTTTATTTCTAGAAACACTTCCTTCAATATCCGTAGCCTCAGAGCTCTTAGTCTTTGTATTTGTCTATATTTTTCTTTAGTTAGGCAGGTGCAAATTTAGTTTCCATCTGAAATCGAGCAGCCGAATTGCTTAATTTTCCCCCCACCCATGATAAAATAAATAAAATGTAGAATGTATGGATCCAGGCGTTATATTTGTCAGCTCTCAACTTGTGCTTTCAAACACGTTTTGACTCAAAATGGATAAGTCAAAAATTTTTAATTTTGCAGAAATTGTTGCAGTCATGCAGATTGCACTACACTCTTCTCGACCAGAATATTTCAAATCCCTTTTTAAAGCAGTTTTAAGAGGTAGTACAGGAACAGTGTTTTCTGATCATGTGGTCTTCCCTTCATTCTCTTGCAAGGATTGTTATAACACCAGTCATTCTTGGGTATTTCCCTTTACAGAAACCTTTATGAGTTCATAGAGAGAGCTCAATATATCTTTTGTGGAATAGTTAACCCTTTTTTGTGTTAAACCCTAAAAATAGTTTAAGCAAACAAAGCTTTATTTTATTACTGTTCTTGTGGAATGTGGAAGCATCAACATCAATTTCCCATTGTCTGGGAGATCTTAGGTTAACGACAATGATCTTTCACGATCCACTCTGATTGGTTTTTTAGTTTTTGGTTGCAACTTTTCTTGCAAGTTTCAAGACCCTGATAAACATTGGGAAATGTTTGTGTTAAGAAAAGACAATTTTTATGCTCTTTCTAAACTGTGTATTCTGATATATAATATGCTTAAGTCTTGTCCAAGTCTTTTGGGATTGTGCGTAAAGCATGAAGAGTTTCTTTAGCGTCTTAAACTGAAATTCCAGATAACATTTTAATGTGTGCATCGCTTTTCTTCTTTGAACAGTCTAGTGTTAAGCAGAGTGTTACAATTTTCCTCTTTCTTTTCCCTTCTATCACTTCTCTCCCCGTTTTGAAATGTTTCATTTGTTGGAGCTGAATAAAATAGGAGGTCTCACCTTTCTTTATCCCCCGTCTCCCTATGTATGAAAAAGTCATTGTAGTTACAATAAACGTGCTTATTGTCTGCCTGCTTGCAATTGCTCCTCTTACACAGTCACTTAATTAAAAAACAATTTTGTATGATCCCAACTCTGGTCACTGGAATCTTATTTCTTATGGAATTTCTGTAAAATTCAAATTCTCCTCTTTGGAACCTTAATTTCTCATGGAATTTCAAACCTTCCTCTCTGGAACCTTTTGTTTTTGCTCCATTTGTAATTATTTTCGTTATTTTCCCCTTTTTTCCCATTTATTTTAAGCATTCTAGAGATATTATGTTTGTCCTGCTTTTCCAGTAAAAAAATCTTACTAGAACACATTTAGAGGACTGTTTGGCAAGCTTGTACATGGCTTCTTTGATAGAAACTATTCTGTTGCAGAATTAACTAAACCAGTTAATGAGCGAAGCATTGCTTCTGTTTATTCCTACTCCCTCCCCCTTCCCAGTTTTACTTGAAGACATTGCATGGCTACAATTGAGTGGAAAAGTTTTGACTTTTTGAGTTTTATTTTGCACACTTGGTGTATTTATAAGTGTCGGTTATTATTGACCTATCAAATAGTGTTGGTTTGTAATGATGTCCATTTATTTGGAATCTTTTATAAAGATGTAAACTTAGTTCCAGATGAGAGTGCTGACTCAAAATTAAAAAGTAACCTAAAGGGTATTTCAAAATAGATTCCTGAGTTTGTTTTGGGTAACATGATTTAAAAAAAAATTATACTCAGGAATGAAAATCCTGCTGTTATGAATTAACTTTAATACAATCTTTGACTGAAGTATTTCACTTTTAGAACAAGGAGGTATCTTCATTTGCATTGTAATTGCTTTTGATTTCTCAGATTTATTTTTACAGTGCATGAAAAATGTTTAAGCTAAAGCTTAGATACATCAACAAAATATTCCAAATGAAATGGAAACCCTGTATCAGAACATGATCTTTTTGTTAATCTTGAGTACTTTTGTATTTTGTATGCATCATATATTATTAATGCATGACTCAATTCCGAGCTAGGGCTAAAAGTAAGAAAATGTGACCAGAAAAAGTATGAAATGGAAACATTGAATGGGGTTGTCATTTCTATGTATAGGAAAAGTAAAATCTAATCCTACAGATGATGATCACGATTCCCTGATCGCTTTGTAGTACAATCAAGTACATAAGTATTTCAAGGGCTCTACCAACAAAGCTCATGTTTTGACTCAGATTGGGAACTTGTCTCGTTTTAACTGTTAAAAAAAATTGAGTTGCCCTGTAGTTGCTTTCAACTACCATTTTGGCTTTGCGATTTTGTCAAAAAGTGTCCCTTGTTTTGAGAGAAATTAAATCATTGAAAAATTCTGAAAATCCCTTATGACTAAATACAAGCTATTATTCTGGAGGGTTGAAACCCACCTAAACATTCATCTCATTTTCCTATAAGGTTTAAAATTAAAAGGAAAAGCATGTGAATCTACACCTCCACATGGAAGTTTTGAAACTCATTCATCCTTAATGTATTGACAAAATAACTAAGTCCTTTGTCTCTGAAGTTGTTCCTGGGCATGCATTAATTACTTTACATGTGAACAAGTCAATGGTTTTGTAGTCAGTTATTTTATAGATTACTTGTCCATGTGCATTCTCTTTGTACCAAACTGTAACAATAGTGTTTTTGCAGCAGTCAGTATTTATCTGAGTTAGGACTTGGGAATATTTGATTTATTTTTAATATCAAAAACATACTATACGGTAATTAGTAGTCAAAGGGGAATGGGCCATTTTTGTTCATTTTGTAGTAGCTGGGGCCAGGTTTTTGCCATTTGTTACATGTATGCAAAACGCATAAATATTTAGAGGGTTTCATTTTTCTCTAAGTGGCAAAGAAAACACTATTGTTCTGTTAGTCATTTGTATTATTTGTGGTGATGTAGTCCTATTATTAATAAGGAAACTATGGAAAAAAAATATTTAGAGGTTAGTTGTCCTTTAATGGTGTGAGTACTGAGAAGGTTATATGATTAATAAATGTTGTAAAGAAAGATCAGTGTGTCTTTTGTTTGTTTGTTTGTTGTTGTTTTTTTTAAAGACTTTTCCTTCCATATCCTGCTATGGACTTTGGTGGCTGGTTCTTATATTTATTAGTGACTGCTCACAGTGGTTCAGCATTTCAGTGACACTTGCTTTGCTTTTATTGTGCAAACATCTGTTCATGCCATTGCAAATGTACCTGGTGGATTTTTTTTGTGCTGCATAATTCTTTGAGCACACTTTGTCTTGAAGAAGAATTGCTATAGCTTCTCTTGTTCCACATTATGAGATTATGTCAATTCATATTTATGGATTCCTGACCGTCAAAGTGTGTTTAACTCAATAACTGATAAGATCGGCACTTTCTTTGCCACCAGACTGTTAATGTCGACAGCACCAGAAGTTTCCAAAAAATGGTCTACATGTACCTCGGAAATAGTAATGCTGAACAAAAGTGTACTAATTTTTTAAAAGGACCTGTAGTTATTAGAACTCTCTTTGAGCCAGAGGAACACATAAGATTGTCCATTATTTATCTTAGAATCGCTCGCAGCAGTGACTCTGCTATAAGTGAAAATGTCTTCGTCAGGTCATCAGCTCACCTGTAGTCCTGTACAAACGGCCACTTTTCAATTCTCCCCTTGCGAGGGGGAGATAGGCTCACTTTTGAACCATGTGAATCCACTGCTACAAAAGAAATTTCCCATTGCCATCAAGGGGTTTATGAACAACCACCTCAACAAGTGGTTGCATACGGCACTTTACAACTTGACTTCAATTTGATTTTGTGATACTATTTGTGTCATATTCATTATTGTAACACATTCTCCAGGGTCAGTGAATGGCCATGTAGGCATATTATGTCCGAGACTAGTGTCTTTGTCTACTAGTCTTTTCGTCCGACTTGTACGGAGTTACAGCTGATATTAATAATCGCACAGTAACATACTATGGTCCCGTCGATGCCAGTGTCGAAGAAACAAGTATGCCCTTTTTTCTTATGCAATTATAGTTTATTGACCATATGGTTACATGGTATCGAATCGATCTCTGGAGCTCGATTATCTGTACCTTTGTCACTTAGTGTACTTCCACTGTAGTCTATCGACTCCCGCCCAGGTCACATTGTGGGATTCTTTCTCTGACGTGCCAGTTCTAATCTCGCATCGAAACTCACGAGGCAGATGATTTTAATTTCAGGCTGAATTATTTTGTCATTGTGTAGATCAAGCTGTAATGTAAAATGTATATCTTTAAATCAGGATTTAAAACCAGCAGTCATTCAAATCTAGATCTAGTGGTTGGTTGGCGGGTGCTCTGGTGTGGTTTGCTCCTTCTTTCCTATCAAACCTCTATCGTCCTGATCTCCCCTCTTCTTTTTTGTGTATGTTACTCTCTTGTAACACCTCTAATCCTCGGCACTTATATGACCTTATTGTGTTGCAAGTGTCGTAAACTCTTATTAAAACAAATCTAGACCGAGATCTCTGTTGCAATCGGATCAGGCCGTCATGGAAGAGACAAAGAAACGAAAATTGGACCCTTCCACATCGCAGTCTCAAGATTCAATGAAAATGAGAAAGAGAGCTTCCGAACATAAATTTTTGGATCAGTATGCATCAAAATGGACATTCATCAGAAAAAGTGTTTGTGGTGAGGTGAGACATATATGCAGACCTGCCACTCATCCCGATTTAGTCGGGATATCCCGATTTTTTGCCCCAAATCTCAAGCATCCCGATTTTCCTGATTTCGATCGCGTGTATCCCGATTTTGTGTCTCAGTCTGCTGTTGTGCCGGATTTGTCTAAAAACGTACTCTGCTTTCTCTTTTCTTTGTATCGCGGGAAGCACCCGTTGAACCTTTTGTCAGTAGGAACTCGGAGCACTATTTCCCGAAATATCGATGCGCATTTAGTAGTTGACTCGCCCCAAGTTGTGTGTGATCTTTGCCCGCACTCAGAATTCTCCAATGATAGCCTGGTAACTGTTACAATTTGGGACATACAAATAATCGATAATTTTCAAAGTTCCTCTGTTACTTTCAAAACAAGCTTTGTCCGAGGTCTGGAACTGCGCGTTCACACTAAACACTCGGACGAGCGACAGTCGTTCTAACCCTTACCCCCTTACACAACTACATGTAACTGCGCTGACAAGACTAACATACGGCCGTTGTCGTTGCTTTAGTCTGAACGCATTATGAGGGATAAGAGATTTGTTGGTACATTTGGTCGGTCGGCCGCCATCGTTATCCAAGAAGTAGAACGACTGTCGCTCATCCGAGTGTTTTGTGTGAACGCGCAGTCGGACCCGTTAGTAAAATTGTTTCCATCGCGCGTTCTGCGTGTCGGGGACCGTCTCCGTTGACGGAGTCAACGTAGTTTATGTATTTCGGGAGTTATTGGTGGGGGGGGGGGGTATATACACTTGGACTAGGAGTGCTTGACGTGATGCTTCAGGATTTACAAAAAATAATGATAGCGCGCGCGCACGCACGCACACACACTCACACACACACACGCACGCACGCAAACAAACAAAGACACAGAGGGCATATAGGCCAAATAATTTATGGACACCCCTGGAAAAATTTAAAGTTAGCTTTGACAGTCACCTTGGTGATTTGCTGTTGATCCCGATGATACCGATTTTTTGTCCCTGAGATCCTGATTTTGAGGTTTCATAGAGTGGCAGGTCTGTATGCATGTTGTACTTTATGCAACAAGGACTTTTCTGTTGCTGCATCAGGTGAATATGATGTTAAACGGCACATTGTCATTAGTGGCTTGAAACACAAGCAGTTGGAAAACACACGCCTACCAACTTTGTCAACTTCCGTTAAATCAAAAGAAGAAATTCTTAGAGAACAAAGATTCAATGCTGAGTTGATGTCAACCTTATCTGTGACTTGAACATGCCAATCAGCACAGCAGATAAATTCAGCAGGGCTTTCCCGGAATGTTTCCGGACAGCGACGAGGCCAAAAAATTTGCCTGTTCGCACAAAAACAACTGCCATTATCCATGACCCGGCCAAAATGCACCAAGACAGACTTCTCAGACGGATGAGGCCAGGCCCTTGTACCATTTCTACGGATGGGTCGAATGATAAAGAGAAACTTTCTGGTGGTGGTCAGGACGGTCAACTCATACACTCCACTTGTTGAGTCTGAACTTCTTGCCCTCTCTGCTCTAAAAAATTCAGCTACGGGCGAGAACATCTTCAACCTGCATGATGAACTTCTAACAGTAAATAGCATCCCGTGGTCAAACAGCATCACTTTGGGGTGTGATAACGCATCGGTGGTGACAAGTGCATAAGAATAAAGGTGTGTATGCCTTCATAAAGGCTGTCCTCAGAGAAATTCGCGCGCGCAGCCCGCAAGTTGCGCACGCAACTTTTGGCCTCAGCGCAACTTTTGCCATTTTCGTGAATTCGCAAATTTTAGGCAATTTTCTGCAAAAGTTGGAAAAATAATAATTTATTTTCGGTGAAAAATAACCGAAATTTTCTTCCACAACTAAAAATAACGACGCGAAGGGGGGCAATTCGTACCTGAAATTAGATCTACCATACTTCCTTTGCACTAGATCTACGGGGTGCCCATGAGTGCCCGTTGCGGATGAGATCGGGTCGGGATGATCGCCCGACTCGTTGCCTGAAAACTACGTGTTTGATTTTGAGGCAACGAGTAGTTCGCGATCGATTTGTGCCACGATAGTCACTTTGTGCCATAATCAGTCTGTCGAGCAAACCGACCCGTCCCGACCTCCAAAATAGTCATGTTTGGACTGAATCATCTTCTACTTCTTCTAGATCTAGATCTAGCTAAATCTAGACTCTAGATCTAGATACAGTATCTATAAAAATAGAGTAAACTCAATCGTAAACACAATCATCTGATTACTTAGCTTGCTTTGTTCCGTAGCACCAGGTAGATAGATCTAGTATAAAAATTTGTGAAAGACTTCAGTGGCGGTGGGTGGACCAAAATTTGGGTGGGGCTTGGATTGCTTTCACTTCTTTACCTCTAAATAGCAAGCAATAAGATTAATAAGAACAAAACAATGGTGATTTTTCCATACTCACGGCGAGCCATGGCATTTTGAGAACAATTCAAACGAGAAGAGTCACCTTTGCCTTCCTTCTCTTTGTTCTACGTTAAATTCTTCTGGATGCTGGGGACGAAACCTCCAAACGTC